CCCAACCTTCAAGCACAAATGCACGATTTAAAAAAAAAATCTCTTAAATGCATCGCGTCGTCGAGTATTTACTTAACTGCTTCTTTAGCGGAGGGCTTCAGGAGGGGAGGTTTACAAGTTCAGGATCTGTCTCACAAAGACAGTGAGTCAGCGTGTTCCAGTAAGCCATTGCTGAAGGGGGCATTTACGGTGAAGGCCATTAACTGATGCTGAGTATGTAGACTTTCAGCCGGAATAGACAGTACATTGTAGAAACACGAAAAAAAAAAAAACACACCCCAAAATACCGTCTGACCTGATTTAATTAAATTGTGTTGTTCCAGTTTTAAATCTGGCGAAGCGTCATGAAACAATGACAGCTGTTGGCCAACACCTTTGACCAATGTCCAAATTTTTTTTTCTTTTTCTCCATGGGTAACTTTTCTCGTTACAGACCAAACAAAATAGGTCAGGGAAGCGTTAAGCGTCGGTCGTCACGGTGATGCCGAAAAACAAAGTCAATGTAATTTTATTCCCGAGCGTCAAAGCTCTTAAGAGAGAGTGAGAGAAAGTCTGGATTCAAATTGTTGTTATGCTTCCGTTCAGAAGGAAACGTCAGCCCCGAAGGGAAGATGGCGAGCAGATTTATTTGCGTGTTTGAAATTTTTGTTGTTACAAAAGATTTTTTTGTAAAGTAAATGATGACAGAGGGCTGTTTTCCTCATTACAGCACTTTTTTTCAACGGATTAATGGCCTTGGCATTCATTTCAGTGGGAAACTCTGATTTGAGGTTTTTTTTTGTTTTTGTTTTTGTTTTTTTGTTTTGTTTTGTTTTTTTGTGTAAATTGTGGTCACAAATTAAGCCGTAATCTGAACGCACTGCTCGACTTTTTTTTTTCTTTTTTTTTTTACACCGGCTAGCGCCGGAAAATTCCGACCCTCAAAGTTGCGAAACTGTTCCGACAAATTGCGGTTTGAACGAGATCAGATGCTTCAACCGCAACCCATTGTACTCTCAAAATGATGCTAATGACTTTCCCAATTTATTGTCTAACAAATAAACATCTAATGCAAGAGCGGCATCAACATTTCCCGACCCTCAAATCGGTAATGAAATGTGTGTTCTTCATTTAAACATCCTCTTCAGCCTTTCGTCTTGTAAATGAAGTCGGATGTGTCAAGGACACAGCAATTTATTTTAAAAGTGTGCAAATGATTCCGTCAAAGCCTCCATAAAAGCTGGTGTAAGGCTTTTTTTTTTTTTGAAGGCACTTGAAACATCTGTTAATGAAGTGTCTCCAAACACTTTGCCTCAAGGACAACATCTTTTGACGAGAGAGAGCGTAACGTTTTGTGGGGTTATGGAAAAACACCAACAACCGTGTGCGTGTTTGTTTTCATTTCGATGCTCGTAATAGTAGCTCTTAGCCAGCATACCCATTAAAAAAAAAAAAAAAAAAAGTAAATCCGAGTTGTAATTGCCTCGACTCCGGCCTGCATGTCCTCATAAAATCAGAATTACGAGCCGATTGATCTCGCTTGTGTCGGGGTGTCTCAACCCTTCTCGCCAGTCATCGGCCCATACGCTACATCGTCAGTATTTACGCCACTGTCATCCTATTTCTCACATTATTCGGAGGCGGGGTGGGCGTTGAGCAAACCGCTGACGCCGCACAATTCGCCTCCAGTTCAAACACCGCGGAGCTATACTGTCATTCGTGCAGCTGTGTTCGGAAGCAGCCATGCAAAATCCCTCTCGGGGTGGAAAAAGGGGAAATAAAAGCTGCCAACATTACTACTGAACATAGTCCGTGATCCCACTCTTCAGTCGTGCTTTGCGACTCTTCTTGCATCATTTTCATCTGTTGTGCATTATGGAACCTCGGTGATAAACTGTGTTGGAAAGACCTGGTGACTTTTGTGCACATGCAGGTTTTGTAGCTTGTGAAGGATGATAAATGGAAAGAGTTTGTTGTGTACATTGAGGAAGCCGAGGTAGAAATTTGTGGAAGGTTTGATCATTCCCACATGTGTTTAAAATCATAAGATGAGTTCATGTAAGCGAACATGGGAATTATTAATCCCCAAAAAAACATGATGGACCGCAGAGCAAGACTTTTTGGAATCTCCGCAAAAGTCAATTGATTTCATGAATGCTAGTACACCTAACATCATTGGGTAGTTGTGTTCCAGCATCCATTTTGGATGGTCCATTCTGTTGCCCATGTTTAATGTATGAAAAATAGAAAAATACTGACTCTTTTGAGTCATAAACTGGACGAAAGAGTTTTTAGTAGGGCCATTGCGCGTTCGGCTACATTGTAATACTTTGCTCTATTCTGCCCCCTGCTGGACATTTTAGGCAGCACAATAATTTATTTATGGTAAAGTATGTTCTATATGTATCTATATATTAAACCGAGGGGATGATAAAGCGAGCAAAACATTTGGGAAACTATTCATTTTAATCTTTTTTTATTTAATTTGAATTGTCTCCGTGGCGTCGTACGAAACGCGCTGCGTCGTTGCTATGGTAACCAACGCCCCCAACACGGCTGAATGCAGTGAAAACCGTGATTTGATTCGGTTTTGCGAACATTTCCAGTAGTTTGTCGGGTCGTATTTAGCGGTTGTTTTGTTTTTCAGCGTGACATAGCTACCTTATGGAAGCTTATTAGCAAGGTAGGTCAACTTTGCTCACGTTGTTTATGATACGTAACATCGACGCAAGCTAGTTTCGATTTAGCCGATCATGCTAGCGCTGATAGACTGACGTCAGAAGAAACAACGGTTTTAATTAATAATGTGACTTTCAAAGCGCTGTTTGTCAATTGTTCACGTTTTGAATTAAATGAGACACTGGGTAAAAAAAAAAAAGCAAAAATATAAATCAATCCCCTGGACATTACAGGACCAAACACAGGAGACACCAACAACTCTTTTATATTGAGTTTTTTTCATGTTCACATATTATTTAACATGGTTCAGACACACTGTATTTATCAGCAGTTAACTGTTTTCCACTCAGAAACTATCTAATGTCCATCTATGTCTGTTTCCAGAAATGGAGACAGAAGTTAAGAAGGAGAAGGACACCCCTCTTGTGGCCAAAGCAACTGATGCTTCAGTTTTCGAGATGTCACCTTCGGCTTGGTCTACTTTTCAGCTTCTGGATGAGGTATGGATTTAAAAAAAGGGGCAGAACGGTGAGTAGTGGTTAACAAGTGTGCCTCACAGTTTTGAGGTTGCGGGTTCCAATCGTGGCTTCGGTTTTCCTGTGTCGTTTACTTGTCCTCGCACATTTCTTTGCCGCATGTATAGGAGCCAGAGAATGTGTATGTATTTATAATTGTTTGTTTATATGTACCAGTCCAAAGTGTAGCCAGACTCTCATCCTAAGTCAGTTTGAAGATGATATAAATAACCACTTTGGTGTACATGCACCCAATAACACCTTTTAGTCAAATGTGCTTCAGTGCCGTCAATAAATGTAAAAAACAACAGGTATTACAGCCATTGAAATTGAACTTTATTTTGTTTTAAATATCAAAAGTGCATATCCTTTGGGATGACAATGACTATGAATGATAGAAAATATATTGTACACACACGCCAAGCTTTCTTTCCACTCACTCATTAATATACGACGAATGGCCACAACAATGTCTCCTTCATTGCTGAAATATAAACATCATTCTTATCAGACCTTGTTTTTCTATGACTCCCGGACATATAAAGTCTATCAAATTTCACAAAATAAAAAATAAATACTGTACACGTCCTTAATATGGAAACAAATCTTTCCTGCATTCTGCTCATTCACAGTGTGTTAGGGGGAATAAAATGATGCAATACAGTGATCTGGCGTTAGGTGGCAGTATTATACAAGTAGTGACTTAATTTTTTTTTTTTTTTTTTTTAAATTTCAAACAATGACTCTTTCTGTTGTTCCTTACTCCAGTAGCTGTGGTGTTATTGTTTTGTGTCATTCATAAAACACAAATATGCTTGGGATTGTGGATAATATGGGCCGAGTGAGTTGTATTAAAAAAAAAAAAAAAAAAAAAGAACAATAGGGAGGCTATTACATGTGTACCTGCCTGACACCAGTTTGACATTCTCCAAAACGGGACTATCCTGCTCTTGTATAACTCACTCGAATGGCTGTTGTTAATTACGAAAGCGCAGTGGAGAAACATGACAGCTCACTCGTTTTAACTACTTCTGTGCGCTGAGCCGAGTCTAATCTGGTTTAATAGAAAGATGCAGCCGGACAGGAAGTGGATTATTGACAGAGAACCAGTGGAGAAAAAAAAAAAATATCATCCATAGTAACACCCCGTTTAATAGGATGGCCCCCGCAGGAGGCTAGCTTTTACACCGTCGGTTTTTGTTCACAGTCCATTGTCGTTTATTGTCATTTTAATTCAACATTTAGACGGCTATATTCGCCACAGTGGAGAACTGAAAGAACTGTTATTTTTGTTTTTATTCAGGACTAGGGATGCACCGATACCACTTTTCTAGATGCCGATACGAATGGCTGTTGTTAATTACGAAAGCGCAGTGGAGAAACATGACAGCTCACTCGTTTTAACTACTTCTGTGCGCTGAGCCGAGTCTAATCTGGTTTAATAGAAAGATGCAGCCGGACAGGAAGTGGATTATTGACAGAGAACCAGTGGAGAAAAAAAAATATCATCCATAGTAACACCCCGTTTAATAGGATGGCCCCTGCAGGAGGCTAGCTTTTACACCGTCGGTTTTTGTTCACAGTCCATTGTCGTTTATTGTCATTTTAATTCAACATTTAGACGGCTATATTCGCCACAGTGGAGAACTGAAAGAACTGTTATTTTTGTTTTTATTCAGGACTAGGGATGCACCGATACCACTTTTCTAGATGCCGATACCACACCGACGCTTGCTTACGTCTCTTTTACATTGGACTCTGTTTAAAGAAAAGTGAGGGTCAAGTTGTTTTGAATTAGCTTTAGAATCATCGATTCACGAAACCATTTGCAATTTGACTCCGTGTTTATGTGGACTTCCTCGTGCGAAGCCTAATCTTTGAGATGCGATACTGGCGGCATCCACCAGGGAGCCTCCATGGTTTGGTGACCGAGCCGCGCCGTCGACGGAACTGGAGGAACTCTCTGCTTGCCAGACCGCCCGCCGCTACAACTAGCAGAGTGGTGATGTGCTCATGATGTCATAGTATCGGAGCATTTTTATTTTTTTTACGAGTGCACACATGAGGCATTGATATCGGTGCATCCCTAATTTGGACCGTTTTCAAAGTGCCCAACAGGCTCGCGCTCGTGTTTGTTGACGTGTAAGTTTCCGGTACTACTTCTGTCTGTCCATTTTTTCCATCATTCTCTCCCCGTTCCCTTTACGGAACGTAATTCTTGGGCCGTATCATCATCTTGACCGTTTTGAAGGCCTGCCTGTAGTTGGTCGGGTAGTACTCCGTCGACATGTTGTGCCACGTCCCCCAGAAGATCCCGTTCCTGACCCCCTTGTACCTCTTGTGGTAGTACTTGCCGTTGAGGTTGGCCGACATGCAGGCGTCAAACCACCAGCCGGAGCTGTAGTAGGCGCCGCAGTTTCCCGAGGGGTACATGTCGTTGTCGCGGTCCGGGGTGGAGAAGAACTTTTGGTCGTGGTTGAAGTGCTTGTTGAAGCTGATGGCGTTCCCGGCCGTCCCGCTGCGAGGACACACGGCGGAGGGGGGGCGTTTTATCATCGCGCACTCGGTTTGAGCGTCTCGATCGTCGCGCTACCTGTATCCGCTGATGGACAGCCTGTAGCTCAGGAAGTCATTGGCCACGTAGAACTGGTCGTACTTGGCGTACTCCCGCACGCCCTCAAAATCCTCCAGCTCGATGCGCAGCGTCATGTCTTTGGCCTTTGTCAGCAGATGGATGTGGTCGTTGCCCAGCCAGAATTCACCTCTGTGGCAGGGAGGGGGGGGGGGGGGGGGGGGGGCGGGGGGCGATGGGTAAAAGGGAGTGAAAAAGATAGCGATGAATTATGTGGCGACTGATATGGTTGTTCACAAGAGGACAACTGTTAGTCATACGGAGTTGACTTTACGAGCACGGCGGAAGCAGGTTGCAAGGGAAGAGTCGGGTGACAGTAAACGAAAGGACGAGACGGGCCATAATTCTTCCCGAGTCTTTTACCTGAGGTTCCCGAAGCCCTTCTTGTATTCGTTCCAAGTGCGGTTGAAGCTGACGGACCCATCGAGTCGCTGTTGTATCACCGTCCAGCCGCCACCGAAGGACTCCATGTCACAATAGGCCTCGAACGTTCCGTTGCGGGGGTCGGGGGTGATGCGATACACCCCATTCTTCCTCGTCTCCAGCACATTGTAGTCGGAACAGTCCCGAGGGGCCAAGATGACTGCAGGGTTGGGGGGGGGGAAAGTGAATTGAAGCGATGTTATTTGTGAGAGGAATTGTGACTGGATGATATTCAATCTTCTTTTTTTTTTCTTCTTCTTTTTAACTTTCCTCTCACTGTTATTTTTTTTTCCTCAGCTCTGCCAAGAGTACCGTAATAGAAATGGCCCCCGAGGCAAGGAGGAGGCTGAAGAAAAGTAATTCAATTTTTAATCATAATGAAAGTTTTCAGTGCTGAATGAAATCCGCGGGCACTGTATTCCGACGCAGAACGGTTCGCCAATCCCCCCACCCCCACCCCCCGCGCTGTTTGAAAAGGTCTCCCCTCCTTGTGAGGCGCTTCTCACCGGCGACGTCGGCAATTTTGCATATAACGACCGTTCAGCAGCGTGCGCTTATCTAGAATCTCAACACGACACCGGAGCAGACTGCAGGTGGACTCATTTGCTACATTTTTTTTTTTTTCAGTGCTCGTTTCTGTAGATTGTGGGGGAGGCGGAGCAATGACGCCGAAAAGTCACGGGAGGCATAACGTTTTTTGGGAAAGGGGAGGAAAAATATGCACACACCCCCTCCCCCCGCCCTCTTGGTACATCCTAGTACCATTACTCCAAGCAGACACTTCCCCTGCCTTGGTGAGGGATGGATGTTGCACAATGTGCCTGTTCAGTTATGCAGCTCTCTTGGGTACACTGTGGCTAGATGACGTACGTGGATCTGATACCGGATTTTTAAAATTTAAATCACCCTGCGCCTCGAGACTTTCAGAATCCCAACAACAGCCATCCTACAGCAACCGTTTTGAGCGGCCGCTCCGATGAAGGCGCCGTCCACCGATTTGAACCTCTTCATCAGCTTTTGGTTTCGACCCGATTCCTTCCCCCACACACCCCCCAACCCCGTTTGGATCCCCTTGCCGAGTCACGCGGCTGACAGTTCCGGCTTGAATTATCGCAGCGCCCCCGTTTGACTGCGGCGAGATAAGTGACTGGCGACAAAATGCAACATGACAGCCAGTCCTCGCGTAAGATCGGCCCCCCCCTGTCGGGAATACAAATGTGTTTCCTGTCAGATAGGCTTGCAGCCAGATGGACCATGATTTTTTTTTTAAATTCACTGAAGTGCCTTGCTGAACGTTCCATTCACAAGGAGAATCATCCAGTGGAGAGAAGTCGAGGGCCGGCTCTCACTGTTTAAGCGAGTTAATGCGGCTGAACGTGAACATTAATTCCTGTCAGTTCACCTCAAGGCCCTAATTCACCACCACCCCCCCTTTCCCCCCCCCTCGCAGGAGTGAAAGTGAAGAATAGTGCTGGCGGCGGGGATGCGTCCTGGCAAAATAAGTTGGGATAAACACAGTGAGCTGCGCGCGCTCAAACGGCAACTTAGCTTTCGCCTCGCGCTGCATGACTGATGCTCGGAGATGACTTTTTAAAGCCCATTCCGCGCGCGCGTGTGCGCGCTAAGTCCCCGCGCACGTGATCCATTTCAAATTTGTTGGTGCAGTTCTCCTCTGAGCTTTACTGCTTCTTCACTTTTTTTAAGTAGCGCATTCAAACATTTTTTTCAACGCAGCGTGGCAGCTGGCGGCGGCCCATTCCTAACTAAGCGCAGCCATGATGATTTCTCCCCGAAGCACTTTGACTTGCGACGACATGAAAGTTTTCCCCACCGAATGTTTACCTCCGCGAGCAGCGTCGGCGTTAATTTTAACATCCGGGATGAAGCGACAAGTGCGCATCAGAGGGCGGATTGGGGCGGCAGGAAAAAAAAAAAAGAGCCGAAAAGATTCCGTCATCACATTGTCGCCGGTCTCGAGGGCAAACAGCTGTGTTGGCTTTGTTTTTCATTTTCCGATCCACTTCAGACGTTCCAGGTATCGAACATCGCAGACCGCCGTTCGAAAAACGAAGCGTTGCCGCCCCGCCCTCGTCGCCCGCCCGTGTCGAATGTCAAGAGAGCCGCCTCCGTTGCGCCTCGCGTTGTCGGCAAGAGATAATGAGAACGACTTGTTTTCACGCAGGACTGACTGAGCACACGGGGAGAGCGCGACCTCCAAAACGGGAAAAGAGGGATTAGATGGCAAAAGAGGAAAGCGAGAGGAAAAAAGCGCATCTTTGGAGACCAGAAATTGAATTGAACGATGAAGGGCACCCGCGTTCGGGAGAAAAACGTTTGAGAGCGGCGTTGAAGTGGAGTTTTGAAGGAGAAAAGGGGCACGTTGAAATTCCCTTCGCGCCATTCGCCCGACTAATCTTCTTAGAAATAAGCTCATGCATCTTCCTGCTCGAATATAGCATCACATTCTCTTTCACCCGCAGCGGGGCAGGAAATAAAACAACAAAAAAAACCCCACTCTTGAACCCAAATTCCGCTATGATTCAAAACATGTTTGCTTTTTCTTCAGATTTTATGCCAAGTATTTCCAAGATGGCCCCTTTGAACATTGGCGCTCTCGCAATATGGCGGGGGGATTTATAGCATCACATTCTCTTTCACCCGCAGCGAGACGGGGGAAAAAAATACAAAACACTCTTGAACCCAAATTCCACGATGATTCAAAACATGTTTGCTTTTTCTTCAGATTTTATGCCAAGTATTTCCAAGATGGCCCCTTTGAGCATTGGCGCTCTCGCAATATGGCGGCGGAATTTGCTCACATTGCGGGGCGGGCTGGGCGGCG